TGAGATTGCACCACTGCACTCCAGCCTGGGTGACAGAGTGAGACTCAGTCTCAAAAAAAAAAAAAAAAAAAGAAAAAAAAACAACAGAATACGATGAGTACTATACAACTGTATTATGGGAAATTCAATGAAATCATGGGGATTTAGTTGAGTGTCAAATATTGCTCCTTGAAGAAAAAGCCTAACTGCCTACAGGTACTCTCAAGGCACCCAGAGGTACATTATTCTTTCATCCAGATAAAAACACTGGGTAAATGTCTCAAATATTCACGTGTAAATCTACCTCTATTCGGTTTATAAAACATATGGAGCAGCCCTGAATTAGCAATACAGAATATTAGTACTCTAGTCTCTCACCAAAAGCCTGGACATGATATTTAGAAGGCATACGTAAAGCACATGCTAGCCATTCATTCCTGTAAGCATTCTAAGTTCCAAGACCAAGTTGCACTGTAAGAAGGTTTGGCTTGCAATGTTTAGCCTCTCTCTGAATGGCTTTTACTGAATTGTACATTATGAACCAGATGACAAATCAATAAAAATTTACTAGGAGTCAAAAAAATCTATACTTAATGGAAACGCACATCTCCAAAATATAACACAATAGCAGGTTTTGGCTCAACTCTAAGTATCATCTCAGTTACCTCAGAAATCTTAGTTCCAGAGCAGCATTGTTTAATAGAAATATACTGTGAGATATATAAGCAAGCCACACATGTAACTTTAAAATTTCGGGCACACAAAATAAAAAACTAAAAGGAAACATGTAAATTTAATTTTAATAATCTACTTTATTTAATGTATCGAAACTATTATCACTCAACATGTAAGCAATATAAATGTTATTGAAATATTTTACTTTTTCTTCACCCTAAGTCTTCAAAATCTAGTGTGCATTTTACACTTACACCACATCTCAGTTAGGACTAGTTACATTTCAACACTAGTGGCTACTGTACTGACCAGTCCAGCTCTAAAAGATAAACTTCTTTTGGGAAATGACCCTTTCAGGCTTCCTCGCTAACATAAAACTACAGCTCTTCTCCTTTCCCCCTTTTATTCTGTAGGTTTTTTAGGAGCAGTAGCCATGACAAATCCACTTAGCAGTTCTTCAGTGCTGAAGGTTAGAAGGTGGGGGAGGAGTTGGCCAGTAGGATACTTTTATTTATTTTATTTTTTGAGACAGGGTCTCCCTCTATTTCCCAGGCTGGAGTGCAATGGCGCCTTGGTTCACTGAAACCTCTGTTTCCCCAGGCTCAAGTGATCCACCCGCCCCCACCTCAGCCTGCGAGTAGCTGGGACTACAGGTACATGCCACCACGGCCGGCTAATTTTTTGTATTGTAGTAGAGACGGGGTTTCACCGTGTTGCCCAGGCTGATCTTGAACTCCTGAGCTCAGGCAATCCATCCGCCTCAGCCTCCCAAAGTGCTAGGATTACAGGCATGAGCCACCGTGCCTGGCTCTTTACATAATATTTAATTAAGTAAAAATATTATAGTCCATTCTGAGTTGGAAACACTTCAACTTCTCTTACATTTTGCAGAAAAAAACAACACACAACTTGAAAGGGATGTTAATTTGTTGAAATTTTACTGGTTTGCATATTTCTGAAAGAACTCTCTTCTAATGTAATTTTATTTACTGATTAGAACACAGTAAAGTGCAGTGAAAAGTGCACTAGCCTGAAATGGAAGATGATTTGACTTCTAGACCTTGCTTTGTCACAAATGAGTTGTGTGCTGCATATAACTCTCTGGGTCTAAATTTCTTCATCTATAAAATAAGGAGCTAAAAGTACACCTCTAAATCTCAAACATCTAAAGTGGAAACTATATATTTATTCAAGAAATTCTAAATACTTCACACTTTCAAAGCAATATTATTTTTCCAATATAATATCGCAAAACCTTGTAAAAATGAGATTAAATAATAAAGCTAAAAGAAATGGCCAAATTGTAAAAGGAATCTAATTTTTCTGATAATAGGTTCAATTCCTGTTCATCTGCACCAGCTAGGTTTTCACCAATAAGTAAAAATAACACAACATTGTCTATCAAAGAGAATTCGTTAAATTCAGTTTACTAGTGAAACATTTTAAATTTCAGTAACTGGGATTACTAAACTTCACTAATAAAATTCTGCTACTGACTTGAAGACTACAAGGCTACAGTAACCAAAACAGCATGGTACTGGTACCAAAACAGAGATATAGACCAATGGAACAGAACAGAGTCCTCAGAAATAAGACCACACATCTACAGCCATCTGATCTTTGACAAACCTGACAAAAACAAGAAATGGGGAAAGGATTCCCTATTTAATAAATGGTGCTGGGAAAATTGGCTAGCCATAAGTAGAAAGCTGAAACTGGATCCTTTCCTTACACCTTATACAAAAATTAATTCAAGATGAATTAGAGACTTAAATGTTAGAC